TTTTAGGTTTTCTTTTTTTTTAATTAGTTTTTTTCATATGGGTGCAGGCGGGCTGAGGCTGAGAAGGGCATCAACCAGGATCTTAGTTTTGTTTAAATAAGGTACCTCCATTCTGGTGGAGAATTGAAATTCTGTGCTTGCCTTGCTTCTGGAACTTGCATTCTTCATTGGGTCCATATCTCTAATTCCTCTTTCAGCACAACACCTAATAATTGATGCCCAGATGTTGTTAAGCGGAATTAAAAATACTGTATTTGGCTTTTAGTATATTCAGGGAAATTTTAAGGGTATTGTTTGCTCTGAAATCTATCTGTAATAACAATAATGACTAGCATTTACAGAGTCCTTATTGTGTGCCAGGCACTGCTTTAATTCCTTTATCTGGAGTAACTCAGTGAATCTTCACAATAACTCTGTTACTGTATCTCTATTTTATTGTTGAGAAAGCTAGGGTACAGTTCAGTCCAAATCGTAGAACTAATTAATAGGTGATACACTCAGAACTGTAGCTCTGTTAATCTGGCACCAAAGTCCGCATAACCAATATTGTATACTAAAATGTGTTTGAATGTTTATTTAACCAGGTCTGTGCTTTGTGCATTTTTTTATGTAATCCTTGTTATAGCACCATGAGAATTTATAGTATAATATACCAGAACACTCCAGTAGTCATTTTTAGATGTAAATTCTAGTCTCTATTCTGATACTATAAAGAGATAAACATATTATGGTAAATTTCTACATGTACATGCTGGAGTTTGAGGATTAATAAGATGATCTTTCTAGTCTTTGCTACCTTTTGAAATTACTAAATTTAATTGCTGAAATTAATCTAGACTCTGGTAGAAATGAACTAACATTGAACACCTTTTATGCTTAAGGCAGGTACACATTATCCCTATTTACAGATGAGGAAAGGAAGTTCAAAGATTAAATAATTTGACCAACTTATTAAACAAGAAGTACAGGCAGAATCAATTTCATCGTTGGATCTCCACTCCTGAGAATGGCTTCTACACAGGTAGAGCCTCTGCAACATTATTTCTGTTTTTAGGGTTTTCAGGAAGTCTTTTTTCCCTACCATTTTTTTTATTCCACCATTGAGCTATCTTAAAACAAAGTCATTAGCTTTCCTTTCCTATGTATTTTAATTATATTCAACAGCTTTTAATAAACATTTCGTAACCATGTACATATTACTTAATATTAGCCACACCATTTCTCCGCCAGCTATACCATGGGCTTTAAAAACTGTCATATTAGCGATATTAGAATGATAGTCACATAAAAAGAGGAGAAAAATTTCTGCTATGTAGATTTTAGAAATTACTAAAGTATATCGCAGAAGTTAAAGTTTTAGAAAGGACTTTAAAAGCACCTTTGAATTTTCTAGCTTTGTGCTAACTTTATGACTATCCTTGGTTATGTAGAATAATTAACACAGAGTACAGTCTGCATTGGACACTTAAGAATTTTGAATTTTTTTTTACTGTTTTAAAATTCTAGCCAATTTCATAGCATGAAATTAATAGTGCATGCTTAAAATTGGGAAACTTTGGTATTTCCTAGTTGACTTGCAAGAGATTACAGCTTTGATCTCTTAAGCTGCAAGTAAACATCTGACTTGTCTATAAACACATGGTTTCAAGCTTTTTTGGAGCCTAAGAAGATCATTGGTTTGAAAACTGAAATAAGTATACATTTGTGACACTTGTGTTTCTGCGAAAAGAGAAGCTTTGGATTAAATTTTTCTGCGAAATCTTGTGTAATAGACAAAAACTGAAAAAACGAGCTATAACAAAGACATACATGGTTTAGTGGCGGTTCACTCAGTTCAGTAAATCCTGTGTACTTAATGTGTGCTGTACACTCATGGGTTTTGGATGGCATAATGTGCCTGGTTTAAGGATCCCATGAGAGTTCATAATACTCAATATTAGTGTCCATTTGGGAGTAGCCAGACAGCACTAGAATCATGAATTTTTTTTTTTTTGGAGGCGGAGTCTCACTCTTGCCCAGACTGGAGTGTATTGACACAATCTTGGCTCACTGCAGCCTCTGCCTCCTGAGTAGCTGTGATTAAAGGTGTGCGCCACTACACCTGGCTAATTTTTGTGTTTTTAGTAGAGATGGGGTTTTGCCATGTTGGCCAGGCTGGTCTTGAACTCCTGACCTCAGGTGATCCACCCACCTCAGCTTCCCACAGTGTTGAGATTACAAATGTGAGCCACTGCACCTGGCCATAAAGTATTTAGTGTGTGTGTGTGTGTGTGTGTGTGTATTTTTTTTTTTTTCCCAAAGGAAAAAGATTTACTATGAAGATTCACATAATGACAAGTAATACAGATTTGTGAAATTTCCTTTTTTCTTCCTCTTTTTGTAGATTGTTTCACATTGCCCAGGATGGCTTCAAACTCCTGGGCTCAACTGGTTTTTCTGTTTCAATTAACCTTACCATCTTTTCCCCAGTGCTTTTCTTTACTGTTCCCTCCTGTTTTCTGCTACATTGACAGATTATGTTGATAGGTGTGCCCCTCCCCTAAGTTTACTTTTAGACAAGCTAGGACAATATACATTCTAAAAAGACTAGTCAACTGCAGTAATAAGGTGGGGATGGGAAGTAGAACAAGAAATTCTATCTATCTGTAACTGACTGTGAACAATTAATTGAAATAACTCCCTTCAGATGAGCCTATTTTTTTTTAACATATCCTTTAACTTTATTAACATCTAAGTAATATCTGATATTCCTTGCTCCTCATCCCTGAGCATGCTGTTAACTGTACATCCTTCTGGGTACAAGTGTATTTTCGTTTTACTTGTTGATTTTTGGGTGTGTGCTGGGGAGGAGAGCATATTGTGTTGTAGTCATCCTAGACTATTAAAGTATATTCTCCAGTAATTCTCTCAAAGTGGACATATGCAAAACATAATCTCTAAATTCTTCAATATCAAGAAATACCTTTGTTTCATCCCCAAAATCAAATTCCAGTTTGGCTGGTTATAGAATTCTAGGATTAAAGCCTTTTTCCAGCAGAACTCTAAAGATATTGCTCCATTTACTTCTAGCATCCAGTGTGTCCAGTGATAAGTCTGCTGTCAATCTGATTCTTCTTCCTTGGTAGGTTATTTCTCTTCTCTCTCTAGAAGCCCTTATTATTTTCTCTTTATCATTAGAATTCGAAACTTTCACTAAGATGTGTCTAGGAGTCAGTCTTTTCTCATCAGTCTTACTAGGTACTCGGCAAGCACTGACAATCTCAAGACTTGAACCTTTCTTTAGTTCTGCAAAGTTTTCATCAATTATTTCCTTAATTATGTCCTCTGCTCTGTTCTCATTATTCTCCTTTTGTGGAATTCCTATGAAACAAATGTTGGAGCTTCTGGATCTATCCTCTATCTCTCTTTGCCTTTCTTTATGAATTATCTGTTTGGTCATTTGCACTGTATCCTTAGAGAATTCTTCAATTTGATCTTCTAGACTGTCTATTCCTTTCTTCAAGGAAGTCTATTCTTCTACTCAGATCACCTGCTGAATTTTTAATTTCCAAAACACCTGGATGGGAACTTTTCAGATTTCCAATCTCCTCTTGTATCTCTCTGATGCTATTAATCACACTACTCAAGTTTTCTATTTCCTGTGTTAAGTCTGCTTCTTTGGATGTTAGTTCTTCTGTTTGCACAGTTCTGTGTCTCTCTTCTTCTGTTTCCTTACAGAACACTGAACTCTGTTCCTCTTCCTCCTCCTCCTCCTCTCCCTGTAATCCTGAGGCCTCTTCTTCCTCTTCCTCCAGCTCTGAGGTCTCTTCTCCATCATCCTCCATCCCTGAGCCCTCTTCATCCAGCAACTCTAGCTCGGAAAACTCTTCCTCTTGTGTCTCTAAGTTGTTCATCTCCTCTGGCTTAGCAACTTTTACCTCTTTAATAAATAGAAAGTTCAAGCCATCATTGGTCATTTCTCCAGCTCTGTGTTTTGAGTCTAACAGGATATTACCCCCGTTTTCTTGAACTCCATATCTTCCTCCTCGATTTATTTCTTCCTTTTGTAGGAGTACCTCTTTCAGTAATTCCTTCATAGAAGACTTTTGGCTGGCAAATTTTCTAAGGCTTTGCAGATCTGAAAATGTCGTTATTTCACCATCACATTTAAATGCTAATTTAACATCACATAGAAATTTAGGTTCAAAATCATGTTCTCCGAGAATGTTGAAGACATTACTCCATTGTTTGCTAATATCCAGTGTTGCTGATGAAAGGTTAGCTGCCAGGGTAAGTACCATTCCTTCATCCGTCAACATTTTTTCTTCTCTGAAGGCTTTTAAAATTTTCTCTTTATTCTTGAATTTTGGAATTTTTCTTTCCTCTCTCACTTCAAGAAATTCATCCTGTCCATTCTCCCTACTCTCCCCTTCTGTAAGTTCTAAATGGATGTGGCGATTTCTCTGTCTGTCATCTACATTGCATAAGGTTTCTTCCATACTTCCCATGACTTTGTAAGTTCGTGATTCATTCTGGGGTAATTTCTTACCTTCATTACTATTGTATTCATTAGGATTGTCTAATTTACCACTGAGCTCATCTACTACTTTCATTTTAAATGTTAAATCTTCAGTATCAACTATTTTAGAGTTTTCTCCTTCTGTTTTTCCTACTTTCCCTGTTTTTTGTGATGCTGAATTATTTGTTGAAGCCCTGTCCTGTGACTGGAGTTCTCTGAATTCCTTACCTCAGGTATTGTAGTTTTTGCTCCTAAAATTGCCTTTAGGTCATTTTTAAGAGTTTCCCTCATCTCCTCAAACATCTGGTCTTGAATTTCCGTTAAGATCTTAAACTTACTCGTAATAACTGCTGATACATCCATGCATTTTAAATCGGTGATCAGAGCCATTTCCTCATCAGTTTCTATTAACTGCCTTCTTTCCATACAGGTGACATTCTCCTGTTTCTTTGCAAGTAGCAAAGTTTGATTGTATGCTAGACATTGAAGATACATGAGACATTGTGGGTGTATTGTCAAGACTGGATTCTGTTTTTAATTCCTGCAGAATGATTTTTGTTCTTACAGGCCTGCTAGACTTCAGAAACTCAAAATTTTAAGATATGTCAATCTCATTCCTTGTCTTCAGTCCTCGCGGTGAATCCATTCCTGAGCCCTTGAATTTGCCCGTTTTTCGTCGTCTCCGCAGCTCCAGCCCAATCCATGCCCCGCTGTCTCTCACGTGCATCACTGAAATCACCTCCAATTGCTCCCTGGCCTCTCTCACTACCGCTCTGCAATCCTTCTCCCGCTCCAATCGTATTTATTATATTGTAAACATAGTGTCTGTCTTACTGTTCTCTAGACAAGACATCAGTATCTGAAATGCCTTTCCTTATCTTCTGCCTGTTCTCGGTCATTATATCAATCTACTTTTAAGAACATAATACAAATTATGCTTTTTATTGCACATGTAGTAGAGGTTTAATATAGGAGAAAATGTTTGAAAATACATAAAGGCCAAAACAAATAAATGATCTCATAACCCATTGATAACATATTGGCGATATATTTTCAGGCTATTTAACTATAATCTTTGAATATTGCCAAACACTTCCCTAGTATAGTTATAACTATTTGTTGTCCCAGTAGCTGCATGTGATAGAGCCTATTAGAATATGACATGTTTGCTGCTTTGTGTGATATTCTGATATGTTATCTTTTACCTCTTCATGTGTTGCTATGTAGTTTTTGCCTAGTTACAGTTTGAAATATGAGTTCCTTTTGATTATTATAGCGACCACCCTGGGCAAAGCGCCATACTGGAGGATTTGGAGGAAATCTTGAAATTGTTCCTATAAAGCAACAAATGAAAGGTATATTAATGCTGTGTAATCTGAGCATATTTAGATAGGAGATCACCAGCCAGTGGAGTCAATCTACAGCTTCCTGGACAGGCTATGTTTTGGAGCCAGGCTTTTGAAGGAGCTGTAGAATAAGACAAGAGGCATGGTTTATACAGGGAGATGGAATAAGATGGGTATGATATGTAGACTGGATTAGAAATTGGTAGCATACCTTCAAGAGAGGAAATAAGCTGGTGAGATAAAGGGTTCAAAATGATTGTTAAGCCACGAGATGGATGAAAGGGGAAAGCAGATTTATTGTTGTCAAGGGGAGGGAAAGACTAGTCATGAATTGTGTTTAGGGAAAGCTGGCCTAGCAACTTACATGGAAAGTGGCTTGTGAGGCAGGGAGTATAGTTGAAGTCTTTTAAGGTATATGTGAAATGATTAGCCAAACTTGTTACTGCTGAGTATAGAAAGTAAAAACAGAAACGATATGTAAATAACTTAATATTGCTCTTGTGACGATGGAAAAGAAGGAAGAATTTGTTTGGGAAAGGAAAGATGAAAACCTTTGTTTTCAGTTACATAAAAGAGTTTATTTAAATTTATTTTCCTCTTCCTCTTGTTCTTTTGCAACTTTGGAGTCTGATTAGAGACTGGATCCTCCTTACTCCGTACCTCATATCACCTGGCATGATGACTTTTGCCCATAGTTGTTTCTCAGAAACATTCATTAATTGTGTATATGAAGGAATATAGATTACTGGTATGTGCTAGAAAAGAGATTTTGAGCAGCATGCTTCTTTTTTGTTTTTATTTTTTGAGATGGAGACTTGCTCTGTGGCCCAGGCCGGAGTGCAGTGGTGTGATCTCGGCTCATTGCAAGCTCCATCTCCCAGGTTCAAGTGATTCTCCTGCCTCAGCCTCCTGAGTAGCTGGGATTACAAGCACATACCACCAAACTCGACTACTTTTTTTGTATATTTAGTAGAGACAGAATTTCACCATGTTGGCCAGGCTGGCCTTGAACTCCTGACCTCAGGTGATCCTCCCGTCTCGGCCTCCCAAAGTGCTGGGATTACAGGTGTTAGCCACTGCGCCCGGCCTGCTTACTACTTTACATAGAAATTAGAAGTGTCATTTTAGTGTTCTTTGTCTTTTGTCTGCCAAACAAGAAGTCTTAGGATGTTTTGATCTCTGACCAAGTGAAGTATTGCCAGTCAGTGGCTTGAGAGATTTTAAAGTGATGACAGTGCTTAGGCATCTTACATAGCAAATTGTTGAGATATAAAATCTGTTATCAAATAGTTTAGTTACCAAGTGAAGCCTGCATTATATAATGTATTTGATTATCTAATGGTTTCACCCAAATCTTTTTCTTCCTTTAAATGCCAACCTCAAGTGTAGGGGTTCTATCTTGTGCTACTTATTTTTTAGCTCCTGCATGTCTGTAGAATTGTATATGGCTTGCAGTAATTTAAAAAATGTATATTGGCTTAGTTTAAACCTTAAAACATTTAAGAAAATATTAAGTCACTAAGAATGTTAATAGAACATTGTTAAAAAAATTTTTACACATGCAAATCTTTTTTCGATGAAAATACATCCAAATAGTATTTCTTTTTTTTGGAGACAGAGTCTTGCTCTGTCATTCATACTGGAGTACAGTGGCATGATCTTGGCTCACTGTAGTCTTCGCCTCCTAGGTTCAAGTGATTCTTCTGACTCACTTTCCTGAGTAGCTAGGAGTACAGGTGTGCTCAGCTATTTTTAGTATTTCTAGTGGAGATGAGATTTTACCATGTTGGCCAGGCTGGTCTTAAACTCCAGACCTCAAGTGATCTGCCCACCTTGGCCTCCCAAAGTGATGGGATTACAGGTAAGAGCCACTGTGTCTGGCCCCAAACAGCATGTCTTTTATCTAGCTGTTATAGTGTGGTAAAATTTCATCTTCTTTACCTTGATGAAATTATTAAACTTTTTTTTTTAGTGCATATAGTACTTAGGTTTGTCACATTTCTTTCTTTTTATTATTTATTTATTTTTTTAAGATAGTGTCTCGCTCTATTGCTCAGGTTGGAGCATGGTGGCACAGTCAGGCTTACTACAGCCTTGATCTCTTGGGCTCAAGCGATTCTCTCACCTCAGCTTCCCCAGTGGGTAGGACTATTGGCAGGCACCACCACACCCAGCAATATTGTTTATTTTTTGTAGAGACAAAGTCTACTTTGTTACCCAGGCTGGTCTCAAACTTCTTAGTTCAAGTGACCCTCCTGCCTCCTGCCTCAGCCTCCCAAAGTGCTGGGATTACACCTGGCTTGTTTGTCGCTTTTAATGGCTTGGGATTTCATTTGGTAGATGTTTACTTTATTTTGATGGTTGTGTGGGAGTGTCATAGAACAAAGTACCCAATCTTTAACCCTGCACAGCTTAATATTGTACTTTGACTTGTTCTCAAATCCACTGTTTTCAGAGGCAATTAAAATTAAGCCTTTTTGGGTATGAAATAAGCCTGAAGTCTTTATCTGAAGGAAGGGATATATCTGATTCTTGATTGTTCACACGGCTAGTCTCTCTGCCATTCTAGTTTTGTGACTTGTTGTTTATAGTACTGTTTCATTTCATTAAGAATTTTTTCTGCCTTATCATACTTATTTGTAGTTGCAAAGCCCATATCTCACAGTTGTGCCAAATGGAAATTCGAAGTCAACAGAAGTTACATAGAGATCTTGATTTTCTTTTAATATTCTTACATTTAATAAGTTGCACAGGTTCACTAAATTTCCTTTAATTTAATTACAATTCTTGGAAGAGAGGATTGAAAATATGGTTCAGTAGCACATTTAGAATTTTCACCAGGTCTTAGGCTGTGAAGGGAAAAAAACCATAATCTGCATGATTAATTTCCATACCTTTTAAAAATATATATATAATACATAACATATATACAAACATACATCATAATACATACATGGGATAATATAAAATTCACCATTTTAACAGTTTTTAAATATACATTCAGTGTTATTAGTCACAGTGTTATACAACCAATATCTATTTCCAGAATTCATTCATCATACCAATTAGAAACTCTGTACCTATTATATTAAATAACTCTCCATTCTCCCCTTTTCTCCAGCCTCTGGTAACCTCTGTTCTACTTTTTGTCTCTATGAATTTGCTTGTTGTAGGTACCCAATGTAAGTAAAATAATATGATATTTATTGTTTTCTGTAACAGATATGATTTTTTAAATTACAGAATTCTATTATATGTATGTACCATATTTTGCTTAGGTATTTATTTGTTTTTGTTTCTTTTTGAGACAGAGTCTTGCTCTGTTGCCCAGGCTGGAGTGTAGTGGCGTGAACTTGGTTCACTATAAACTCCACGCCCCCGGGTTCAAGCGATTCCCCTGCCTCAGCTTCCTGAATATCTGGGATAACAGGCGCGAGCCACCATGCCCAGCTAATTTTTGTATTTTTAGTAGAGATGTAGTTTCACCACATTAGTCAGGCTGATCTCAAACTCCTGACTTCGTGATCCGCCCGCCTCGGACTCCCAAAGTGCTGGGATTACAGGCATGAGCCACCATACCCAGCCAGGTATTTGTTAATGGGCACTTGAGCTGTTTCCCTTCCCCTGTTCTGTTATTGTGAATAATGTTGCTGTGAGCATTGGTATGCAAGTATCTGTTTGAGTCTCTGCTTTCAATTGTTTGGGGTATATACCTAAAAGTGAAATTGTTGGATCATGTAATTTTTTTACTTAATGTTTTGAGGAGCCACCGAACTGTTTTCCCACAGTGGCTGTACCATTTTACATTCTTACCAGCAATGCACAAAGGTTCCACTTTCTCCATATCCATGTCAACACTTGTTTTTCATATTTTTGATAGTAGGCATCAGAATGGGTATCTCTGTCACGAGTGGTGTTTTCATGGTTTTGACTTGCATTTTCCCAGTGGCTAGTGATGTTGAGCATCATCTTGTGTGGTTATTGGCCATTTGTTTATCTTTAGAGAAATGTCTATTAAGGTCCTTCTGTACCTTTTATATTTTATTTTTTAAGATAGAGTCTTGCTCTGTTGCCCAAGCTGGAGTGTAGTGCTGTATTCGTAGTTCACTGCAGCCTCGACCTTCTAGGCTCAAGTGAGTTGCCCACCTCTATGCAC